CGCCAGCGTCGTGGCCGTTGTCGAAGCCGCCGGCACGGGCTGAAATTCCAAAGTGCATAAATTCTGTCGGCAACCCGAATTGTATTGTGTGTCCCCACCCAGTCGTCCCGCATCGCCGCAGTAAGCAACGCTCCAATATGCAGAGCTCTTATCATTTAGATCAGCAATGCAGAATTCGTTCGACTGCACGATCATAACCAGTTCATTTACTTTACAAATTGTCAGAGACTATTAAAATGTATCCTCATTAAAAGTGAGAAATAAAAGATTATTATTAATTTGAAATGAAGTTTCTTTCGAAATACGAGTGAATGAAACAGTTGCAGAGGGTGCTATAGTTAATTGGGAAGGCAACGAAAACTTTATTAGAGCCCGTTACTTTCGAGCTGCTCTTACTGTGAAACGCCAGCAGTAAATCAATGAAGATGTACAGAAGCCTGCGCATAACTTTTGGACGAATATCAGGCGAGCTGTGAAGGACTGCGTGAGCTTAAAGCTCGACTGACAGAACGCGAGTGAAATAGAGGGGACAGACGGAGCCTTGGAAAGGTGTGCGTTTATAATCCGAAAACTAACAGCGCTTCTCTCTTTCTCGCCTTCCGTCGCGACGGGTAAACTGGGAAACGACTTTCGAGCGAAGTCGACTCGTGGCTGACATCGCGCGCAGTCTTGTTGATTATTATCAAAGTGCTCGCGTACGCTTGCGAGTTTTGACGAGTGCGTAAACTCGGCCGGCGCGGCCTTTTCTGCCTCCTCGCCGATACGGGTATCATACGTACAAAGCACGTAGATCGGGATGCAGCGTGTGCATTCGCGCCATGTGCTTTGCGGTACCTATATATCTCCAACGCTAATCGGACCTCGCGAATCGGGTTCCGCCGTTGCTGCAGCTGGCGCGGCCTATTTGCTTTTCCATCGATTTTATGCGTGCGAGCCGTTGGTTAGCCACGGCTCAATTTCAACGCACCTACGACGACGACGATCGTCGGATTACTCGTTGGAAAAACATTCAATGGTTGGCTATCGGCAGCTTTCATAAATTACCATTTCTCTATGAAGCGTTATTAACCTACTTTCACGATGCCGCTTTGTTCTTCGCACAAACTCATCCAGTTATATAATCATGGAATGATCTATCACATAGCTGTTAACAGTTTAACGCCGATATTTTTCTACATCGAAAAACGTGAAAGCCGTTAGCACGAAAATCATGGCTTCCGCGATCGACAGAGTGATATTAACGAGGCGACAGCGTTGACCAGCTGTGGCCTAAAGGAGAAAGTAAAGGAAAGAAAAACACGTAACGCGAGCGCGGTTGACGTCACTACGGAGAAAAAATCATAAGCCGGATATCGCGTTTGGCAGACACGCGCGAATCCAAAATTAAATAGCTATTAGTTAGAAGCCTGTGGCGATCTTGTACTGACTTCGACCGCCACGTAAGGAGCCACTGGCGTAGACGTAGATTCCATACAACGGGTGCTCATCCGTTAAATTGCAGCATCAAACTGTCTAGAAATCGCTTGGTAGAGACATACGTACATAAAGAAGTTTTTTATGACTGGCGCTCGCTTATCCACGCGCACGACTTCCTTACTCTTAGCGACGACCATCCGCCGACGCCCTTACCTTCTACACTTTGGCGCCTCTTACTATCGCTTCTCTTTTATTTTCTGGCCTCTCAACTTTTTTACTCTTTTCTCGTATTATTCATTCACCAGCGCGTATTATACTTTTTTCAATAGATTTTCCAACTCTGCTATAAAAAATTCATTGTTTTCAGAGAATACTTTATCACTGTGAAAGGAATATTTACTCGTTCAAAGTAACTCACGAATGAAATAAAATTCAAACGGTTAAATGCAGATTTCATATATTGCTGAAAGACGATCAGATTTCGATAATAAATATTCCGATCAAATTTCAATTAGCAGAGCACTTTTCAGTTATCAGATGGACTCTTGCATTCGTGACCCAATTCCCACATCTAGTATTTTCAAACGTTTTTATAATCGAGTTGCTCTGTCATTGCGATTTATTTGAATAAATGATTCCTTCTTTTATTCACTCAGAGAAGAAGTCCTAATTAGAAATATTATCAGGATTTCACTCGTAATAAATTTCCTCGTTAGCCATTTTAGAAAATGAAATTGAAAATCTGTTCTCTTGGAATATAATTGGAAAGGTTTGGCGTGAAAGCCACAGAGAAGTTGATTTACTGTTGAAGTTGGTTCATTTGAATCAGCCGATGTCAACCCACGCCTCACAGCTGAGAGTACGTACATACAGGCTCTGTTTGTTGTCGCATTGTTGAAGCATTGTCGACCTGCATTCATGCTACGTTACGACCGGCACGGCGCCTCTAATCTCTATCTTCCTACCCCCTTCCTCATTTTACACATGCGTGCATTATGAATATATACCTACGAATAGCTGTAAAACTTGAAATCTCCCAAGTTGCGTTTATAAGTAGCATTTTTGCGAGTTTGACGTTGATTCCAGTCTTCTCAGCTTTCCATTTGAAAATTGCAATTTATCTCTTCCCAGACTTCAGGGTCGCTAGTGAAAACGTGAATTTCGACGAGGAATAAACGCAACGAAAACGAAAGTCGTTGAGTCGTCTATATAAATCAGACGGTTCTAATTTAATGATTAATAACGTGAAATGAATAACCGCATGCAAGCGAGGCACTTGGCCCGACACTTTACACGCGTTATTTGACGCGGACTATCCGTCATATTGGCTTACTGGCGTGGTGCCAGACAATTTACCGGTTTATCGTAGTATGTGTCCGCTTCAGCCTCATCTTCGATAGGAGAACAAGAAAACTTCGCAGAGCGGCTTGGGAGAGGTGGCTTCGTGAAAAGTCTGACTTTAATACGACGTTTTTATTCAGGTTGACATTCTCTTTCGAGCGTATTCTACGCGTGCATATTGGCCCATGGCTTACGCCTGTGTTTTCTTTGAACACGGCTTGAAGTGCGCCTCGACGGATTTGCAATGAATAAGCAAGCGTTCATGAACTGGCGCCATCGAGGTTCAACTGAATATTCCCCACATATAGAAATTACAATGAGGTTTTCCCTAAGATAGACCAGATACAATCTCTTATTTGCATAACTTTTCACCGGAAAATTGTAGCTCTGATTGTTTTCGTCCCGTTGTACATGTCCATTCGACGTACAACGCTGACATGGGCGGCGTTAACTGAGAATTCGTACGAGTAGAACGAGAGCTTTCACGAGGACTTGCGAGCAAGCTTAATCGGCTGACCGCATTAGTTACAACATCAGGTAAGGAAATGAAAAATGATGGTCGAATTGAACAATAACAATTGTCCGATCCGCGAGGTTTCGACGGTAAACGCGAGTCTAATTAGATGCAATCAGTCACGTAGCCGATGAGGTATATAAAACGAATACAAGTATCGTGCGCATAACAAGGCGGCAGTGGTCATTTCGAAACGATCCACTGGCCGCGCATACTCCGAAGACTATTATCAAGTCTCTGCCGGAATTACGCGCGTGCAATGAGCGCGCATGAGTGGCTTGATTGTTATGCGGCTCGCATCGTCGACAAGTGGTGGATTCCCCGACCGATTCGCCAGGACTGTGCTATCGGTGTAGAAAGAGAAAAGAACCGAGAGCGAGGAAAAAATAAGAGTTGAAACGTCCGAAAGGAGTGCGGTCGATCGATGAGGCTTTGTAATTAATCCGCTGCAGCAGAATGACAGCGTTGTGGCATCGCTCGTCGCTTAGAAAAAGCAAAGCAAGCGTTTTTGACCCAATTCGTGCTCGCACAGCCAAGCAAGCGCACACACACAGCCTCGCGCGCATTAATGACCAACACTGAAATGCAAGCTTCTCTTTATCCTCCTCTCCAGCTCTTTGTCGTGCTTGCGCGCTAGCTTGTGGGTATTTTTTTCATGGGCGTGGCTTCCGTCGACGTGTCATTCTATTCCCGCTATCGTTTCGTTATCGTTTGGCTTTCTCTATTTTTTTTCTTCTCCCTCGCTGCATCTCCCGTTAAACTGACGTGGCTCTCTACTTTTTCCTCCTCCTCCTCCTCCCTGCGTCTACATAAATAAGCCAAACAACGCGACATACGTACGTCGGCTGCTTCGCTCCTTGCAGCCTATTCCCGCGCGGCTCGAATCTTTGTCGCCGTCGCGCATCAGATACGGATTTTCTTTGTGTCCCGGATATCCAAAGTGGATTTGCGAGCTCTGTTCGCATAGTACCCGCGATGCTGCATTGGCTGCACACAGTGCAATGAAATGTCGTAGACTGCGCTGGAGCCAGACTTCGGCTAACTCGACGAGTTGAAAATGTTGGTCGCATTCGTGCTCGCGGATGGCTCGCGACTCACCTAATGAACGAATTAGAAAACTTTCAGTGTGCGCGATCGTGAATTCGCGCAAAAATAAATCAGAAGTAGCAGCGCGTCCCGCGGCTTTCCAATTAGAGGCCGACTCGCCTAACTTTTACGTAAAGGGAATGTACAAAGTCTTAATGACTCCGCCTCCCGCGGCTAGTTTTGAATTTTTGAATTAATCATATACGAATGAATAGAAGTAGGTGACACTGATACGACGTCTTTATATCCTCGCAGAAGAATCATTAATTACTTGCCGAGCTCCGGGGAGTCGCGAAAAAAAAGAACCGCCCCACAAGAACAAAGAAAGAGGGTCAGGGAGCGGCGAAAGATATGGGAGGGCAAATCATCGTGATATACCTTGGACAATTTTACAGTCGAGCACGCGTAAGTAGAGTTCGACCCAAGATTCAAGACTTTTGGCCTTCCGGCACTTTTTCATCTTTAACTTGGAAAGTAAGACAAACGAAGCGGTACACCACTGAATCAATCACACTGAATCAACAAAAATGTACGAGAAAAAGCTTCTGCAGACAAGTAGTTGAATGCTGCACTCGCTCAAAGGGCATCTAATTTAATTAACATTAATTAATTTAATGAATAAAATAAAATAAAATAATCTTACCTTGAAGTCGATATAGCCGTTTTTATCCATGTCGAATGTGCGGAAAACATGGTCGCAGAACTCCTCGGCGTTCCCTGAGGGGAAGAACATTTTGTACATGTCGACGAACTTGGCGGGCGTGAGCCTGCCATTTGGACAGTCTTGCTGCAACAGATTAGCGGGATTTCCAATTAGATGCACGCATGTACATACGCAAACGTACACAAACGGGGCTAACTTTGTACTGCGATGCGACAATACGTAAACTCGGGGCCGAGTGGAGAATAAATTTCGCTCGAATGGCATTTTCGGCTATGCTGCAATCAGTCGCTCGGCCGAACTTCTGACAAATTCAATCCCATCATCGTCGTCAAGCACGTTGTAACAATCGGGCGTGCGCAGTTAATTTAACGCTATGTTGAGCAGTAATAAACTAACTGCCGCAAGCTGAGCCGCATTCGCAAAGTTCATCTATATTGTTTCGGAAATCATGCAGCCTCGTGCAGTTTACCAATTACCGAATAGCGCACGAGAGTGCACTAGTCATTTATTTTATTCGACAGATAGAAAACGACAATTGGCGCGCCATCAGACTATATCGTCCTATATGCGGTAAAGGCTAGGGCACACGTAGCTATTCGCCTGTGAAAATGACGTCGATATGGTAAAATAGTGGAATCAAGTTTTCGCGCGAGAGAGCCTGGGCGAATAAGGGTCGCGTATTGAATATCTTTGATAAGGGAGGAAGGGGAAAAAAGAAGAATGATCGAGAGAAGAAGCGGGATGGAATTTGCTCTCGCTAAAGACTCGATAACCAATATTGCCGTTTCTCCGACTCAATTCTCGCAGTGAACAGAAGCCGGACTTTCAAGACTATCACGCGTCAGATCTATGCGACAAGAAAGAGACCATCTCATGAAACGTCCAGAGCCAAACGTCGAGATCCGGAACGACGAGGACAGTAAAATGGATGGCTTGACGAGGGTCGCCTAAGTAAGCATGTACTTACAAATTGACCATGACTTTATAACTTTGCTTCAACAGTTATTTGTTGCCTCGTGCAACAAGAAAAAAAAACGCTGCCAACTGCATTGGTGAAATGTCCATTTTCTTGCGATAATATTATTTCCAAGAAATAAAGAGCAAAACCACTACAAATACTGACAGACCACATCTACATGGGCATACAGGCACACAGACATCGTCAAAAAATGTTATATTTGGAATCTATATAATACTTAACGCAAAATCTGCGAGCATTATGAAATTACATTCCTTATAAAAAAAAATATCAGTACAAAGGTTGTCTAGACGTCACAATAAATAACAACAAATGTTTTAATATAAAAAATAGATGCATCGTGGAATAAAACTAGAAATGACGCGTGACTTCGCAATAAATTTTGCGCGTACATGATAGTAAAATTTATTGCCAAAAGTGAGATAAAATTTTTAAATTAGTATTTTGAAAAGTTTGACTAAAAAATTTGGTTATTCTATGACGGATAAAAACGTGGGTGATCGTGTGCCAAAAATAAGATTACAGATATCTACATAGGTGAATTTAGAGCAACATTCGATCAAATTGCCTGAAGGTGAACGAATGGAAAGAGAGGAGAAAAAAAGCAGTAAAATTAGGTTAAGGCGAGCTAGCGCACATAGAGAGTACGTATAGCGTCTTGAGCTCGCGGTAGCAAAAATTATGTCCGTACGTAGCTGGTGGACGTGGCGAATCCTTGAAACCGAGGAAAAATATCGAGGCGATTTTGAGGGCGACCCCGGGACTTACGATCGTATTGCATGCATAGTGCACTCGTGTAAAGCGTTACTTTTTTCCTCTTGTATTTTTTTTTTCAAAAGCTTAAGGCGGCTGAACTTTTGCCGCGTACTTTTCATTACCACGCGCTGCCTCTTATTCAAACAAGTTGATAAAGCCAAAACTACCACAGCGTTTTTACAATTACTCTGCGCGTTTTATTTTATTATAGGCAACGAAGGAACAAGTATTTTTTTTAAACGCGTAAATCAACTGCTGAGGCAACATGGACAAACTTTATATATCCTTTAATCTGAATGAATTATTAATCGTACACTCATCAAGGTTGGTAATAAAAATCTATGTTTCAAGTTTATGCTTATAGATGCAAAATAAGTTTCGTTTGCAGTTGAATGCGCTTGCAGAAAACAAGAAATAATATGACATACAGTTTAATAAAAAAGTCGTTTGCATAAGCAAGCAGCTTTGCTATAGAGAGAGAATGAAATGAAGGTCAGGAAAGAGGGAATGTCATTGCGCGGTGGTCACACATACGTAGAGCAGCACCAAGGCATGCATTGCTGTGGTGGACCGAAAATGCCTCTAGGCGCTCTTAGCATGCACGCAGCTATCCCCTACTTAGCTACTGCACAAATGTCACGTATCTCATTCTCGCTTTTGTACTGCTTTTTTCCTTTCTTTTCTCTTAGCATAATTACATCGTCACCACCACGCAAATTGTATTTTTTATAAAACGTAAACTGTATAAGGAAAATTAAACTTGAAATGTTGCAGTAATAGCGTGCGATAAGAGGAACAATGAAACACGAGTTTGATTAGTGAGGTCGAAAGGCGCAACGTTTTTTCCAACGGCATTTGGGCACGTGAACAATCCATTAGCAGCATAAGGAATCGACAATTGCCGACTGATTTCTTATCCAATGATACGAGGTCCACTTAGACACGTGCTTATCAGCGATTAAAGTAATCGCATCTTCCGGTTCATCTAACTATCCTCATCCGGAACTGATTGACCGTTGGAGAAAGTTGCGCGAAATCTGAGCTTTAATTCGGCTCGCGGTGAGCAATGCCGAGACCGCGCGCCCCTTTGTTCCGTTGCGGCCGATCGATTGGATTTTTGCGCTCTAGAAACTGACTTTTTCTCTCTCGCAGCACGCAAATAGTTGCAAATTTTATCGCGGCAAAACACGCTCGCGCTTGCACTTGCATTTCTGTTTTTCCGAGACTCGAGTATTTTTCTGCAATTTCAGAGTTTGCCTACATTTTTCATCAGCTCGGCAGCTTCGAAAGCGCGCTGCGCGGATCGTTCTCCCGCTTAATTTGTCTATTGATTCGCATTTTAATTAATGCGATGGCCACTCTGTTTGCAGGCTGAGTTGACGGTCGAATAAGCTGAATTGACTCCTTTATTTTTTCAATTTAAACATACAGATAAGTTGCCGGGTGAGTTTTTAATTAGCGTAAACGATTAAAGCAAATTCGTTTGAGCTTTTAGATAATCCATCGAGCAGGCGAAAGTTTTTCCAAGGATGAAAAAAAAAAATGGAGAGTAGAAATACCCTTCCAGTCGAAACAGATAATTTCTCTGTTCACTCGATAAAATCACTCCCAAAGACTCCTAGGACTGGATAAGAGGAAGCCGGGTCCCTGTCTCTCTCACTTACTCTTTCTCATTCTCTGTCTCTCTCTCTCTTTCAATCTCTCTCTCGCTCTCTCTCACTCTGTCTCTCTCCGTTGGTTGCCTTGCGGCGCTCGAAAGTACGGCAACAGAGAGAAACGTGAGAAGAAATTCATTCGAGAATTGACTAACCAAGAGCTTACCCTTTTAGCAAATATTTCAGAGCTATCGAAGCCCGGAAAAACAAAACTAACGTTACTGAGATGACGGAGAAGGAATAGTACAAGATAATGCCACACAATATTTTATCGATTCACAGCATGAACGCACCCTAGTCTAAGAGCTAAAGGGGGTTTCATGGTCGATGTAGATAACATGCTCCACCCAAGTGCATTTTATTTATTTTGAGTTATTCCGAACACGAATTTCGAGAGTGGCTTGCTCAGCTATTAACAATCATCAACTTACAAATATTTTGAAAACGGCATTTTCCGTCTCATAAAAAATCCATAGAGTTTTTCAGGCCCGAAAAATAATGGATAGAACTTGAGATATTGGAATTTGAATTAAATGGTTCAGACGACAGCTTACGTTGCTTATTCGCGTTCGCGCTGCTTATGCCACGTTATCGCTTCAATCTCAACACCTCACATCCTATTCAACATTTCTCAATTCTGAAAGAACCAACGCATCCGTGATTATGTAGAAAATGCATGGCATATTTTCAAATTTTGCCGAGGTGATTCTTTTGCGCAATATGCACGCATATCTTCATCATTCGCCGGGGAATCTCGCGGATATGTAGGCTCTACTTGCTTTCACAGGCGCCGACGAAGGACAAAACCGTCCAATTTGCCTTAAAACAGTCAAAGCTCCATTGGTGCGCGAGCACGCGATCAATCGGTGATCATTTGTGCAAGCGCTCCTCACGTTCAGTCTCAACTATGCGATGGTCCAAAGTGATTTTTTCTTCGCGACGCGGCTTCTTCCCATCTGTCCTCTCGACTTTTTCCATTAAAATCTTCGTCGGCTTTTTTCAAGTAGTTTCCAAACGACCTTCTTTTCTCAGATGAAAAATATGTACACCTGGACTTGTCTCGGTTAGCGCGAATACCTATAATTTTATTACGATGATATAATTTTCGAGGTCGCTTCGTAGAACTCGATAAAAATGGATATATACGATATTTCCGCGCTGGAAATTCCATCGTACAGCTAACAAACAAGATTGTGTACAGGCGTATGTATGGAAAAGCAGCATAATAGCACGAACGAGAGTAAACGCGCGAGGGGTATGAGTATGTTGCACACGAGGCACGCAACAAGAGCAGAAGGAAGCTGAATGTATCGATCGCGCACGCGCGGGGCACATCGCGATATTAGCTTAGGATATTCTGCAAAATCTCGGACCGGATAATATTGCCGGACCAACACGAGTGTCTCTTTTGCTGCAGCAGCGCTGATTCGATATTGCATCAGGTACTTTTTCGCTTTCTATTGCTCATAAAAATATTACATCCTCAAAATATACCGTGGAGCGTAATTCAAAGCAACTTTGCCGAGAAATCGAATTTAACACGAGGTCGATAAACTGTGGTGAACGTTCACGCGATCATTCGTACGATGCGTAGATTGAGGTTCTAATGACAGTACTATTCAATTAGTGACGTGCAATATCACTGAAATAATAAAAGTTTTGTTCAGCACGGCACAGTTGAATTGTATTTCAATTTGGAAGTCCACAGCTATGAGCTCGTCGCGCAAAACTAA